GTGGCCAACACTGTATTCAATTCCGCCATATCCCTGGGCATCGCCATCGTCGACTGCCAGGCCTAGATGCTAGGGGAGGGGACAGAGTGCAATGTTGAGGAGGAGGAGGAGGAGGAGGAGGAGGAGGAGACAGAGGTGCAGGAGGGTGAGGAGCAGGATGCGGAGGAGGTGGAGGAGAAGGAGGAGGAGGAGGATGAGGAGGGGAAGGGAGGGGAGGGGAGGGGAGGGGAGGAAGAGGAGCGAGGGCCTCGCTCGTGCCTCATTCCCCTCCCAGAGAAAAGAATGCAGGGGAGAAAGAAGAGCGAGGGCCTCGCTGATCCTTCCTTCCATCCTTCCCCCCCCCCCCCCCCTCCCCCCTCTTCCCTGCCCACTCCTGCTCCCTCTCCCCCCCCCTCCTCGGCCTTGCCTGTTCCCCTCTCCCTCTCCCTCTCCCTCTCCCTCTGCCCCCCTTCCCCCCTTGCGTTCCCACTCGCCCTCCCCCTTGCCCCTCCCCCTGCCCCGCTCCCCTCTCCGCACACCTGCTTTTGCTCCCCCGCCCTCCCGTTTTCCCCGCGCCTCCCCTCGCCCCCTCTCCTCCCCTCTGCCTGTTTGAGCCTACTGCTGCGGGTAGTTGTGACGAGTGTTATTGCAGCTGTGCCCTCATATGATGTGCGTATTGTCATCCTCGAAGACCTTGGAACCATGTGCTAAGGGAGCCCTTCATTGACTTGTCTTATGTAGCCCGCCTGATGTGTGGGGCTGTGATTTTCCGATCATGGCGGAGTCTTTGCCTGCCTTGCTGAAGGCACATCGTCGTTTTGGAGTCCAGGTCATGGGAGATTCATGAGCAGCTGCAGTTCGGATGTCGTGGAATCGCATGAGACGAGCAACGCCAAGATGGTCCCAGCAACTGTCACCGAACGAATGTGTGTAATACTGGTCGTCGTCGAGGGATGTGGCAGCGGGCCCTCGAAGAGTTCGCGGCCTGTCTCGCATGCATTCCTGTCAACGACGAGTCTTAGTACCATTCGAGCACGAGGGAAGCAGAGATATCGGCCCGCCAGTTTGCCCCCCCCCCCCCACAGGGGAAGGAGGGTTAGGGTGGAGCGGGGATGGGAGAAGGGGATGGAGCTGGGGGGGGGAAGGAAAAGGCAATAAGAAGTTGAGCGAAGGAGTCCAGACCTTTGGCGAATCGATTTTTTACGACGTGTGCCCCGTAGCTCTCGACCCCATCCCCATCTCGGCTTCTCGTCGCTGGCCAATTTTTTTCTGACGGCCCTAGGGGCTACCAGGGGCCCCGTGACGGCCCGGGGAGCCCGGAATCGCGCAAGGTGCGCGCCGTGTTCGCTCGCGACGTCTGGAGGTCTGGGAAGCAGGGGGGTCGGAGCCTCCTGGGTAAAGCGGGAGGACTACGGCGTCTTCTCGTGGGACGGATTCGCATACTTCTTGTACGACCTGCTGGGCGCCGTGATCGGAGCCAGCTTCTACCGGATCCTCCGGCCCGCAGAGTCTTCCAGGCCGGTGCACCCCCCAGCCTTTCTCGGCGGGGGGACCGGCACAACCTGGCTGTCTCAGTGCAGGGTGCCCCTGGCAGCGAGAGCATTGGATGCGGCCCTCCGTAGATGCTGCGACTGCAGGGGCGTCTTTTCCACCTGTGGCCTAGCGTGGTTTTATCGTCGTCGGGCATGACCCGTGGTCATGGCGGATGGTTATCTTGGTGCCGAGTTGCAGGCGCGGGATAGGGCGCGTGGGCCAGCTCCGCGGCCTGGCTGCCCGCCAGCTCCCGCGTTGGGCGGGGTTCCTCCCGCCTCGTCCCGAGGGGCCCCCCCCGTCCCCCCGAGAGGTCTTTCAACCTGGGCGAGAGGGACGTGAGCGCCATCAGCAGCACCCTGGCCAGCCAGGTGGCGGCCGAGCTCATCGGGACGTACTACGTTGTCGTCACGAAGGAGGGAGGAGGGCGCACGGCATGGGGGGAGGGAGGGGTGGGCACGGGGGGGGGGGCGGGAGCGAGGAGGCGGGAGGGACAGAGTGGAGGCATGAGGGGGGAGGGGAGAATCTGAGGATGGTCCTGTTGTGTCGCCACTCGCACTGCTGGTGCTGCAACAGCCGGGCCGAACTTGCTGCGGCCAGCTCCGCGTGGGCACATTCCAGCAGGACCGTGCTCAGAGGTCCCTCTTAATCACGATTCGTGTAAGCACGAGGTCTGGAGCAAGACACTGAAGGCCAGTGCAAGGACGGCGCTGAAAGGCGAGCGAAGGGGGGAAGGCAGCCCCTTCCGATTGCACAGCTGCTGCAGTGCCAGATCTCTGCCATGGGCGGACGCAGGCTGTGTCCAGAGGAGTGGGGCCACCACTCGGATCGGACGAGAAAGGAGGGTCTGGATTCTGAAAGGGAGGGTCACGAAATCTGCTGAATGCAGCTGGTTTCGGCCCCGCCGCCAGGCATTTCCCTCGATACATGGGCGCCTCCGTACCTTGGCGCCTCTGGCGCCGGAAGGCTGCAGGAAAACCAGCTACGCGGGCTGATTCGCTAACCGCACTATGGCTATCCCCCCTTTTCGTGCGACCCGAACTACCTGCATACCTTGGCTTCGGCAGTCGATCCAGCAGACCCCACCAGTCGGAAGCGCGTACCTGTCCCCATGATTGGCCTCTCCCGATCTCGATCTCGATGCCGCTCTTCGGCATTCTCCTCCAGCTGCCGAGGGCGCATCCCTGAGCTTGCCAACGCCTCTTGGCCTGTCGATCCCAGGGGTATAAATATAAGCTCGAGGCTCGTGGGTGCGCTGGCTGGGGAGGTCCCCGGGGGCCTGGCTGGCTCGTGCGCCGCGCCGACGCCCGCCTCCTGGATGGCCCGCCGGCCCACGCCGCCCCCCCGCGAGTGCGTCTTGGGGCGAAGCCGCGACGCCATCCCCTCGCGCGTCCTTTCCAAACAAAGACAATCGAGTAGGGGATCGACGAAGGGGATCGACTGCAGGATCGATCTGCCCCGAGCTTGATTTCCCCGTCGAGGGCACGAAGCATGCGCATGACGCTCGCGGATCTGAGTGCACATATGATGTTTAATTTGGGCGGATTCAACAAACATGTCTATTGCGGGATAGATGCCCCAGAGGGAGCGTTCGCATGTGGGCGTCACGCCCGTTTCGGCACACCCTGCGTGTCGTGGCCCCACAGGGAGATCCACCGAAGGCCTCAGAGGGAGCGTTCGCCTGTGGGCGTCCCACCTGCTACGGCGCACTCCTCGCACGTTTCGTGGCCCCAGGGGGAGTTCCGCCTAAGGCACCAGTGGCCGCGCCCGCATGCCGCCGCCACCCCACTTTGGCACGCCTCACGCGATTCGTGGCCCCATAGGGAGCTGTGCCCAAAGCCCCACTGGCTGCGTTCGCATGCCGCCGTCGCCCCACTTTGGCGCACACTTCGCACATTTCGTGCCCCCATATGGGGAGCTCCGCCTAAGGCCCCAGTGGCTGCGTTCGCATGCCGCCGCCACCCCACTTTGGCCCTCACAAGTTTCGTGCCCCCATATTGGGAGCTCCGCCTAAGGCCCAGTGGCTGCGTTCGCATGCCGCTTCCACCCCACTTTGGCGCACACCTTTCGTGGCCCCATGGGGAGCTCCGCCTAAGGGCTCAGTGGCTGCGTTCGCATGTCTCCGCCACCCTGCTTTGGCGCACCACTCACACGTGTCGTGGCCCCAGGGGGGTTCTCTCTAAGGCCGCAGCGGTTGTGTTCGCACGCCGCCGCCAGCCCTCACACGTTTCGTGGCCCCATATGGGGAGCTCCGCCTAAAGACCCAGTGGTTGCGCCCGCATGCCGCCGCCACGCCACTTCGGCGCACCCCTCCAAGTTTCGAGGCCCCATAGGGAGCTCCACCGAAGGAACCGTTGCGCCCGGATGCTGTCGCCGCCGCAACCACACTCTGGCACGCTCGTCACACGTTTCGTGGCCCCATCGGGAGCTCCGCCTAAGGGCTCAGTGGCTGCGTTCGCACGTCTTCTCCAACATGTCGGCACACCCCTCACACGTTTCGTGACCCCACAGGGAGCTACGCCGAAAGCCTCAGTGGCAGGAATCGCATGCGTGACCGTGCCCATGTTAGCACACCCCACGTGGCCCCATAGGGAGCTCCACCTACGGCCACATTGGCAGGAATCGCATGCGTGACCATGCAATTTTCGGCACTCGTCGCTCGTTTCGTCGCCCCATGGGGAGCTCTGCCGGATGCCCCAGTGGCGGGAAGCGCATGGGTGACGGCGCCTATCTCAGCACTCTTCGCGCACGTGTCGTGGCCCCTTAGGGTGCTCCACCGAATGCCCCACCGGCAGGAATTGCATGCGTGACCGCGCCCATTTTGGCACACCTGGCCCTCTCGGAGCTCCACGAAAGGTCCCGCCGCCTGTATCTCTCCAGACCGCGCCCTGCTGCTCCCCAGGGCCGGGCCGACAGACGCTCAGATCAGCCGTATCGATACAGGGTTACATCCAGATGTAACCCGTTGCGGCCGATCCTTGCGACCTTATCAGCAACGTCGCTCCGTCCTTCTCATGCACGCCGTACTGCTTTTGCTAGCCCCCTTCCTTCGTTTCCACCTGTCTTGCGGTACTCGCAGCTGCATATGGTTGGGTCCTTCGCCAGGGTAACTCCTTGGTTTGCATCCCCAGGGGAACCTCAATGATTGGCTTCGTTCACTGGCAAGCAAGGGGTGACGGAATGATGAAGAGGGGGAGGGGCACTGACGAGGATGGGGAGGAGGTCTCCAGAGGTCCTGGAGGTCTCGGAAGGGCTCTGGAGAGGTCCAGAGGTTCAAAAATTGTGAGAAGGTTTCACGACCCATCTGCTCGATCTTCGAACCTTGCGGGTCGAGGAGACGGAGTGGGAGGGGGGCCAGGCGTTGAATCGGCTCGACGACTCCGAGAGCGCGAGTTACGAGGCATGGTCCGTGGCAGCGGTGGTCATGGCGCTTGCGTATTCCTTCAAGGACAGCGCGAGAGAGGGAGAGGGAGGATTAGGCGTGGAGGGAGTGGTGAGTAGGAGAGGGAGGGGGATGGGAGGGAGGGGGGCAGGGTTTAAACAGAGAAGAGGGGGCGGAGGGAGGAGGACAAGGCGGGAGAAAGCGCGAGGAAGACGGAGGGGGGCGAGAAGGGAGAGGGGGGGAGGGAGGGAGGAAGAGGATGTTTTGGGAGGGAGAGGGAAGGGAAGAGGGAGGAGGGGGGAGGGGTTCGCATGCTGCACCTTCTCAGAAAGATCGTCAGTAGCGAGCAGTCTAATCTGCAGTGTGTTGATTCCTCCTCTTTCTCGAGATGTCTCCAGAGGTCTCCAGAGGCCTCGACTTGGAGACCCCTCTGGAGGTTTCTGGAGACCTCCGGAGGCCTCCTCCTCCTCCTCCTCCTCCTCCTCCTCTTTGTCAGGCAGGTTCATTTGGCCGCAGCGCCAGCAGAGTCAGCCCCCCTTCTCTCCCTTCCCTTCCACAACTGCACAGTATGAGTACTGCTCGATTCTCTTTCTCCGAAGACGGCCCGAGAGCGGCGCGCCCCCGAATTGTTTTGTTTTGGTTGGTCGTTTTTTTTTTTTTTTTTTTTTTTTTTTTTTTTTTTTTTTTTTTTTTTTTTTTTTTTTTTTTTTTTTTTTTTTTTTTTTTTTTTTTTTTTTTATTTAGGTTTTCATATATATATATATATATATATATATATTAAACAATTACTATTATATGTGTATTGTACTGATGCGTGTGTGGACATATAGTTATATATGCATATATATATATGTGTGTGAATGAAAATAAAGACAGGATGGGTCCGAGTTCGCTTCTGTCACGTGTTTTTTCCAGTTCGAACGTTTTCGGTCTTTCTGATCTGGTGCCCCCCCCCCCCGCAGCAGCGCCTGCCTCATTTTAGGATCGGTGCTTTGCTCCCGTCGTTCAGAGTGGCTCTCTCGTCCCAGCGCGGGCCACATTTCCAGATCCGAGTTCTTCCTCGTCATTGTCGCCGCCTTGCTTTCCCCGACCCCGCCTTCCCAGGGTCCTGCTGCTCCAGCTCTTCCTGCTCCTGCTGCAGCAGGTCCTCTGCGTCCTCCTGGACCAGTCTCTCGTTTTTTGGGTCAACCAGAGCTGGGGCTCATGACAGTCTCAACCCGTCGCTCGACCAGATTGTGGAGCCGATGCAAGGCGTGCCACGCGTGCGAGTACAATGACCGGCTGGATCAGGAGAGCCCGCAATGTCCTCGCTGCTGTCGGCCTATTCGCTTGCATCGTGGCCACTCTCGCTCACCCAGTGTTGTGCGCATCGATGAGCAGGCCGAGGTCATCAACATCGACGGGAGTAACAAGCAACGCGGTGGCCGTGGCCACTCGCGCAACCGTGGCGACCGTGGCAACGACGGTAATGGCAATGACCACCTGTCAGAAAATCTTCGACAGGCTCTCGCTGTCGCCGACGACCCGCATATGAAGAGTGTGATGCAGGCGCAGCTGACGCGCATAGTCGCGACCGCCGACGAGGCGTCGGAACTCAAGGGTTCCGTGGTGGAGAGTGCGTGACAGCTCGGTGCCTGGCGCGCCGCGGTCAACCGCCACACGCAGATTGTGAATAACGTTATCAAGCTCCGTGCCAGCCTGGCGGCGGCCGAGGCCAAGGGGCCAGACGCCGCATTGCAGGTCGCCAAACGGAGTCGGTGAAGAAGGAAGCGGCCGAGGCGCTCGCCGAGGCTGAGGGCGTCAGTGGGCCCGCGGCCAGCGCGCCCGCCCAGCAGGGGCACAAGGCTGTGTTCGCGGTGTCTTGGGACGAGAACCTCTTCGCCGAGATCGTGGACCTCGACTTCGAGGAGGGCGAGAAGGCGGAACCCGAGCGCGTGAAGAAGGGGCTCGAGGACTTGACGCAGCAGTTCGACACGAAGGAGCCGCAGGTCCAGTCGCTCATCGAGCGGGCGCGCGCCGTTCGCGGGCGCAGGAGGAGCGGCGCGAGAAGAAGCGCAAGGGCGACAACGGTCAGGCCACCACCGTTCCCCCCGGAGGCGCAGGCGCTGAGGGTGCTGGCGCAGGAGCGGGGGCGGGCGCCGACGGCGGCGGCGCCGAGGCCTCCGCCCAGGCCGATGCAGCCGAGGAGGAGGCGCTGAAGGCCGAGGCGGCGAAGCTCTCGGCTGCGCGGTTCGCAGCCCAGCAGGCGCAGGGCAGGGGCAGCGACAGCCAGGGTGGCGGCAGTCGGGCTCGCGCCGCGTCGCATTGATTAGAATCTGCGTCCAGTCAAGACGTTCGCGAGGGAACCGAGGCGGCTGTAGCCAGCCGCAGTGCCCGTGCCAGTGCATTGTTCTGCAGTGGCGTCACCTGCGTGGGCGACAAGTGTCGGGAATACTTGAGCAGCTGCGCAGACGACTGCATCGGCCTCGTCGAGACACGTATCGGGCCAGCTGATGTGGGCAAATGGCAGTCGCGAGCGAGGACACAGTGCAGGCGCCTCGTCCGTAACCGTGCGCGACCTTCTCGGCGTGGGCATCCTGATGTGTGGACAGGTGATTCAGCAGAATCGTCCACAGGACATTCCAACGCGGGCGGCGAGTGGTTCATGTCGAAGGGCCACCTCCAGACACACGTGCTCCACGAGGGCATCCAGTCCGCGGCGCTGCAGGCTCGGCCGTCATCCAGCGTTGACGGCTTTCTCCCAGTAGTGCTACGTTTGGGCGGATCCTGTATAGTAATTATTTTTTTTTCTACGGGTTCTGTAGCGTCGGATTTGCCGGCCCCGACCTCACCCGCTTTCGACGCCTCGGTGGCCTCCTGGGATCCCTCCAAATCCCTTGGGCCGGGGTCCGGGGCTGGAATGTCTCGCCCCAGGCCCTAGCGGCCTCGGGTTTTCTGCTGCGAGTAGGAGGTGTTGCAAAGTGTGCCGATGTAGAGTGCACTAGCGATCCTGGGGGCTGTCGTAAGCCGTCGCATTTGGACCTCGTCGCGCGCTGCGCAGCTGCCCGAGCGCATGTCACTCAGGTCACTGCGGTGCACGACGTACCGTGGGGGCCACGCTTAGCGTTGGGAATTCATTTTGTCGCCGAGGGAGAGCAGTTGCTCACCAGAATCGTCGATCTTCCGAGGCGGCTACCCAGCGTCGCCCGACCTGCCCAGGCTCCCACTCCAGGCTCTGAGTCCAGTGTAGCCAGAGCCAAGCGAGCCGAGCAAGCTGCAAAGGCAGCTGCGCGTGAAGAAAACATGCAGTCAGTTTTAGTTGGAGATGTGTGGGCGGCTGCCGCAGGCGAAGCCCCGGACGGCCAGTCCACATGTGCAGATGATATGTCCGATAAAGAATCGCAGGCAGGTTTCGAGTCCGAGGACGACCCCTGGGCCGATGAGCGTTTTTTTCAGCCATGTCGTTTGCCTGCCGCGCCGATCCACAGGATCCAGCCCATTCCCGTGGACGAGCCTGCCCAGGTTGCCTGTCCAGGTGCCGAGCGCCGAGAAATACCTCACTTCGGCCTCCGCCTCCTCCTCTCAGCCCGAGCCTGTCAGCATCGGCATCGCATCGTCTCACTCAGCCCAGTGTGGGGACCCCCGCAAACCTGCTGAATCCCATGGGCAGGAGTCGGCCAGCACCGGTGTCGCATCTCAGCCCAGTTTCGATAGCTCGAAAGCATTGTGGATAGAGCACGGTGAGCAAATGGGTTTTTTGCCCCCCCCACTCCACTCGGCCGGCTGCTGCTGCTGCTGCTGTTTCCTCCGTAGTTTTTTTCGATCGAGCCGCTAGCCTGATATCTCACTTCAGACCGGGCAGCTCTACGGCTCCTGGGCCGCCGCCGTCGAGGCGACTGCTCGCGCGCACCATAGTCAGGCCTTTCTCGGCAGCTCTCGCGCAGCAGGGCCCGAGCCCAGAATGGTTTCAGTTCGGGGGCAGCAGGGCAAGCGGAGTGCAGCACTGCGAGACCTCAGCAGTTCGTTGTGGACCAGGCTGCGCGCGATTCTTCATGACATTTATCGGCGCAAGGCGAGGGGCAACGGCCAGCGGCATATCGACCAGCTCTATGCTTGCATCCTCGAGCTCACGGCCGACATACCCACCCAGGTGTCAGGCCATCTTCGAGCGCGTGGCGATGTGCGTTGGGAGCAGTGGACCGACTTTCTTGGGCACATCCAGACTGCCGCCGACGCCGAGGTCGTGACCTACGCCAGCAAGGCAGCTGCCATCGCGCGTCGTGCACAGCAGCGGGCAGTGCGGAAGTCGCTTCACGACTTTCGCGATGTGGGCCGTCACCGAGCCCGCCATCGGCGCACTCCATAGATCCCTACGGCCACAGCCTCAGCCAGCAGAGTCGGTCCAGTCTGAGACGGGCACCATCGTCCACCTACGTGACTTGATTGATCGCAAGGTCGGCAGTTGGTCTACGCTGTGGTCGCTTCGGACCCCCGACGGTGCTGGCCTGGTCAGCTTTTTGACCCGATCTGCCAGCGGGTCCAGGAGCGCGGACTGCCTCCTCTCACGGGGCAGGATGTTCGACGTGGGCTTCGGCGTCAGCGCGCATTCACTGCCGTGGGCGCTGATGGGCTGCGGCCAACTGACCCCCCCCCAGACTGCCCGACGCCGCGCTGGGAGAATTCGCCGCCATCCCCGACCTCGCTGCGCAGATTCAGACATGGCCGCGTCATCTCCTGCTCGCGCTGGGAGTCATGAGGGCTAAGGAGGATGATGGCGATCGCGTCGAAGCACTTCCGCCTGAGATAGCGAGGCTGTGGCCCCTGTGTCGCGAGGATGCAGACCAGGGGTGGAATGGGGATTGCCTCGCGCACTGGGGCGCGACTGCCAAGGGGAAGTCGGCGCTGCGCGAGGCGTGCCAGCGGGCCTTGCAGGGGGAGCTCGCTGCATGCGTCCAGGTTCCCCAAGGCCACGGCTTACTCGACAGCGCAATTATATGACAGCGTCGACCGGGTTTGCTTGGGAGAGGAAACGCTCGAGGCGGACTTTCCTGCGGAAGTCCTCGGCCTCGAGATCTTGCAGTGCGCTG